ACTCCCTCTCATCCTGTCCTTCTTACTCCAAGTCTGGTCCTTTGGCTCTGAGAGGAAGAAGGCAGGCGGGCGTGTGGCCCGTAACCCGCGCCAAGTCCTTTGTGTGAGGTCGCCGCACCGATTGCGGGAGCTCTGCCGGGACTCAACCGGAGTCCTGGAGGCAGGGAACTGAGTGGTAATCCCTTGACCCCCTCTATAAACCCAACTATAGCCCCTACTTGTACACCTCTCTATGTTTGACTGAGTGGATTGTGTGGACCTTGTACTTGGTTTTGAGCTTGACTTTCAGGACATAAGTCAGATTGAAGTAAAGAAATGTATGGCCAAATCTCAGTTTCAGTTTGTTGATTGCCTGAAAGCAGATTGTGAATGAAATGGGTTGCATATGGGGGAAGGTTGGGAGGAAGGCAGTATTGTATGCCGTCTGGTTAGGTCATTGAGGCTGGGAGGTCCCCATAAGTTTGGGGAAGCCCAGCGCTTTGTTTGTTTTTGGATTGCATGGAGCCTCATCCCGCTCTATAAGTTTAGGTAGCCTGGAGCTCTGGAGACTAGGATGTCCCCATAAGTTTGGGGAGACCCAGTGCTGTGAATTGCATGGGGGGTCAGGACGCTCTATAAGTTTAGGTGATCTTACTGCTCTGACTTGCGAGGGTTGATTGTGTCTGACTTTCAAGAACCCAAGGCGCTCTATAAGTTTAGGTACCTTGGGTTGCCTTGTTTTACTTGGGGTTTCTTCGGTTTCTTTGGTTTTAGACGGGGAGGTCTGAGCCGCTCTATAAGTTTAGGTGGTTCAACCCTTCTCCTGTTTTATTCTGAGGGATTCATTTTGGCAGGGGACAGGACGCTCTATAAGTTTAGGTAGCCTGTCTCACTCCCTCGCATGAGCTGGATCAGAGAGGAACGAACCTGGCAGAGGATCAGACCGCTCTATAAGTTAAAGTAGTCTGACCCAATGCCTCGCACATGTTGGAACCCAATGGATACGACCTGGCTATATTGTATTACTATGATATTAAAGAACAGGCTAGTCAAACCGCTCTATAAGTTTAGGTAGCCTGACTGTAGCTTATCATAACTGAAGAGAGTACAATTAAAGAGGTATAACTGAAGGTAAACTTGGACAGGCTGAGCAGTGTTCTAAGTTGAGCGGATCAGCCCTACGTCCCTTTTGAAGACTAAGTGCAAAGAGGTATATATATAACTTGACTGTTTAAACAGTTCGGGGCAACTAGAGTGGTCTTGTCATATGCCCAAAGAAGAGAGAAGTAGTAGTGTCCTCTGTTTGTGTATACCTGGTCAAGTCAGGACGCCCTATATGTTTAGGTATTTTGACTTTAAGGCCTGGCTAAGTTGGGCGCGCTCTGTAAGTTCAGGTGGCTTGACCTACGCCTTATGTAAGTTGGGTATAATGGGATAACTCACAGAGGGAGCACGAACTATTGTTTGTTAAAAGGCTTGGGGTTGGTGATAGTACTTACCTTTGTGGTTTGGCCTGCATGTGGCTGAGAGAGGTTACTACTTGGCCCGGGTTTCAGGTTGGCAGGTAGTTGCTTTAGAGGCTCGCGACGTGCTGGAGCGATAGGAGTTAGGTCAGTTCCTTGCATTTTCTGAGTTGACTTTATTTTACTTAGATCGATTCTTGCATTCTTTGGGAGTCACTGTTATACTTGAACTTGTATAAATTTTGGTAAGCTACTTTCTCTACGGGAAGCGATGCCAAAATTTTTACAGATTCAAGGAGTTAGACAAATTTTGACTTGTCAAAGTTCAACTTGCCTTTTCTATATATCTGACTTAGTAAAAATCTGGAAAGTCTCTTTTTCTAAGGCGAGTGCTTCCCAAATTTTTGCTAACTCAGGGAGTAGACAAAATTGGGCGTTGACCAATCAAAGTTAGTCTTAAGTTCTAAACTTAGCTTTGTATAAATTTTGGGAAAACACTTTCATAGGAGAAATACTGCCGAAATTTCTGCAAAACTAAAGAGTCAGGCGGATTTTGTATAAGTTGAATTCAAGGTTGGGGGCCGAGTTCAAATTTGACTTGGTATAAATCTGGGAAATCCCCTATTCCAAAGGGGGTGCTGCCCAAATTTCTACTAATTCAGAAAATTAGACAAAACTTGACTTTCCAGAGTCATAGATTACTCCAGCTTTCGATATTTGAGCTTGTATAAATTCTGAAAAGGCACTTTTCCTACGGGAAACGCTGCCGAATTTTCTTGAACTGAAAGAGTTAGATTATATTTTGACAGGTGGCGACTCTGGCAATCCACCCTGGATAGGGGAGATTCTGCCACTAGTCTACCTGAGCTTTGGGCGCTGGCTTAGAGGCAGGCTTGGACTTAGTTGGCAGGGAGCTTTGAGTGAGAATGTGCTATGGAGGTTTATCGCCCTTATGCTGATGATCTAGCTTGGGCATTTGACCTATCTTGTGTTACAGGTCCTTTGGGTTGTCTGATTCAAGACCAGGACTAGATTCAGCTTGATTCCTTGAGGATCACCTTCTGTTATCACTGATAACAAGTCGGTTGCCGATTCGTCGGTCTTCGACTCAATTCCAACTCACTCTCCATACTCAACCTAAAAAACTCTAGCCCTGGTGGTTTTTTCTGTTTGTTAAGGGTTTCAACCGGACTTTTATTGAATGGTCATTTAACAAAGGTACTGAGTATTTAATTGAGGTTGGTTGGATTGGTGGTTGGAGCTTGCATGGCTAAAGAGAAGGGGTATGAGCATAGACAATGGTTGAGGTTGACTCCGTGTAGTGCGTGTTTTATCGTTCGATCCTTGATGTGATTGCAGATATGCCCTGTGACTCGGATTTTGGATTTGGACTGCCTGCGACCCCATATACCTATACATGGTTGTGAAGAGTCCCACTGTGCCTGTGAGAAGTGATCGTCGCAACTCTATTTCCCTTGTGCATGTATGGGAGGGTATACTTATGATGAGTGCTCGAGAGGCCTAAGAGACCCATGTTAAGAACCCGTTTAAAGGTTGAGGTTAAGGGGCGGGGAAGACCCTCCCGTCTGCCTATTTGCATCTTGGGGCTTTCTTAGTCGGACGTTGGTCCTGGGTCGGGATTCAAGGTCCTTGTCCAGGACATCCCAAGCCCTAGGCTCTGCAGGGGGGGAGTCTTCCCTCGCACAGAGCCTATTTGCTTTGGCTGGTGGGACACCCCACCTTGAAGGTGGAAATGTCGCGAGGGCCGAACGGCGTGTCCTTCAGCCGTTCAATATCGTGAGGGGTGACCCCGTGCGATGTGTTCCTTCAGCCATTCAATATCGCGAGGCCGGAGCCGCGATTACCACGTATGATTGACATCGGTGGTTGGCATAGAATTGGCCTGCAGCCGCGCAACTTTATGTTAGAATCTCGCCCGTGACGTTTCGCCGCCTTAGTGTCTAAAAGTTATGGGATCACTGGGCTCGCACGTAGGCGCAACGCTTGGGATTATTGTAAGCCGCCGGCACCACCCAAAGAGGGGAAGGGTGCTCCAAGGCCACGAGTCTTTTTAAGGCCAGGGGACCTTTGCCCTATTCCCTCTTCTTGGTTCCGTGCGTGTTTTGTTTGCTTTTTAGAGATTTTTTTATGGTTGGACGTTGTTGTCTGTGGCAGCCGTCAAAGTCAAACCCCGTAACTTTCGCTCAAGCCCGGGGAGGACTCACCCCTAGGGCCGCGAGAGACGACTACCACCACAGGTGTGGACCTATGTACCACCCACTCTGCATAAGGGTGCAGAAGAGGGTGTGTGGTCTCCAACCGCGCATGGCGGTTGTCTGGCATCGAGAGATTAACCCTCAAGGTGCGTGTCGGCCAACACTTGAGTGTCGAACACGACCCTCGAGATTAACGAGGACCGCGCGAGTGTGGGTACCACATAGTACGCCATTATCGCGATTGCGTGCATACGCTTGCATTGCGAGTTGAAATGAGTAAGCCCTGCGTCCGCGCAGTTTTATACTAAGTTTCATGCGAGACGCTTGTCCGATTTTTCCGCAGTGGAAAGTTATGGGACGGCTACTAAGGGGTTAGGAGCGTTGTCGCGTTGTTGTGTTGTGTCGCGTTGTAGGTGTGTATGTGTGCGTGTGTGTTTTATTTTTGTGTTCGTAGAGTGGTGTGCGCGTGGTGTGTGGGATACGTCCTAGTCGACCGACGACGAGCCGCGCTTGGGACTTCAGCCCCCATAAATGTCGGTTCGCTTGCGGACCCCATAGGCGTATTACGACGCGTACCCCCATGCTACAACGAACGAGAAACGCCCTCGGCTGGTCCACCTCTGCGATTGCAACTGGTTAGCTTCGTACTGTGGACTGGTAGCTCGGCGGGGATACGTCCACCGATGGGAGGTGACAGCTCCCGTAAAGTGGAGGTAGGTTGTGCCTCGTGTAGGCCCTATCTTGTCGTAGGGGCTCGCGAAAGGTATGGCTGGCGCATTCGGCCGGAGCGGCCTAAGGAAGCTTCATTTGCGTGTTCGAGTCGAGGTTGGTCCAACTCCTGCGTGACGCGGCCGAGAGGATCCCGCACTGCCACGCGCGGTGCCGGACCGATGCGCTCGACAACATCCCAGAAAGCCATGTGTTGAAGTTGGATGCGAGGTTGCAGACACTGAGCGAGAGAAGCAGTACTACTTATCCGCAACTTGTGCTACCTGTAGTAACAGGTAGCGACTACTTCTCACGGGAGCGGCGTTTCGAAGCTAAGCAGAACCGGTCAGTTATGACAGTGAGCGTATTCATAGTGTCCAACATTATCTCTGGGTCGGTGGGGAAAATAATAACATCTTGTTTCAAGAAACTAATGGAGCTGTACATCTCAATATTCCGGTGCACAAAGCATTCAAGCCATTCGCTTGACACATGTGACAATCTTATTACGGATTTAATAACAACTCTCAAACAGGTCCTGGGTCATTATCAAACCTTCAACTGGAAACTGCCGAAGTTGCACGACCTCTGCATTTGAGGGCGTGCATCGAACGTTTAGGTGTCCCAGACAGCTTCACGGCCGATGTGTGGGAGCACCACCACCAGAAGTTTTATAAACAGCCTTTCCTGTCGTCGAACAAGCACAAAGCTTCGTTTCAAATGGTGAATCATGTGCGACGGATCATCACATTCGACGACGACATTGAACGTGCACGTAAACAGAGGAAGAGGACAACTGAGAATTACTCGTCCGTCATGGAGTGCTCGACAAGTGGAATGAACACACTTGCCGCACGCGACACAGCGAAGTTGCATCTTCGATTTTTCCCCCGCGAAAATGCGGTATTCAATGGGAACGAAGGTGCGACGGAAACCGCGAAAGTGATATTGGATGCCCTCCTTTGCAAGGACTTATTTCGAGAAGCTCTTCGCACGTACATGTCGAAAAATGGGTGCAATCCACCGCATGAGGAAATGTTAATACGCACAAGAACGCATCTTACCATCGTAGCAACCGCCGATGGAACAACCAAGGGGGCACTTGTGCAAACTGCGAGGGCTTCACCCTACTTCCACGGGAGAGCGGTGCACAGTGATGTTGCTGTGAGGGCACAGACAGGAAGTACGTGGTATGCATCTGTGGCAATTTTTTTTGTCATGAACACCTGTACGGAAGAAGTGTCCATCACGCATGAGTGCGCCTTTGTAAAATGGTACAAAGAGGCTGACACTGAAAGAGCAGATGTGACAGGGTGCAAAAAATTGAAATGGGTAATGGTAAATGATCGCCACTTGTGCAGCGTCATCTCCGTTGACATCATCACGAACACTGTCCACATTGTTCTATGTTTTGCAAAACCGCAATGGGGTTCATCGGAGACTTATGGAAGACAACGCGAGGACACTTTTTACTTGAACAAATTTGTATTGTGATATGTGGCTTGCGGCACTGAACAGTGACTGCGCGGTCTGGTTGGGTAGTGCATGCCAATATAAGGAACACTGCTCACGCACGACATCTTTATGGCCCCCACCACCCATCTCTCTCTCTCTCTCTCTCTCTCTCTCTCACTCTCTCTCTCTCTCTCTCTCTCCCTAAGCCCTGTCATCGCGTGACGAAGGAACGACAACCGAAATTGATGCAAATAAGCTCGTGAAAATGCTGATGGCTTATTCACAGGTAGAACCATGATGTCACACATTACGAGGAGCAGTACAGAACGCTCAACACTGGTAGCAGACATGACGACGAGGAGAGGGAAACGATCAAGAACAACACTAATGCGGACAACCGAAGAGAAAAAAAACGTCGGAGATGACAGCGTGGCAGAGGTCGCGGTCGATAGCAATCAAGAGAAAACAATATCGATGAAGCAGGAGAACTCAGAGCGAAGCAAAGTGAAAACGCAAAAGGTCGACAAGGGAGCGTCGCACACCGAGAAGAGGCCACAAGCCACAACAAGAGAAGGCGAAAAAGCAACAGAGAGGACGGCGGCGAAGTGCACAATAATGACAATGGAGGCTATGTTGGAGAGATGGGAGCACCTGTCACAGAAGGACCCGTGGTACAACAGAATGTACTTGGCAGCGACAAGGGAAACAATTCGGTCAGCGGATCTTGGACATGCAGAGTCGTGCGGGAAGACGACACAGGCAAACAAGGGCGAGAACGCATCAAGCTCGTCGGACGAGTTCGAGGTTGTCGACGAGACGAATATATATCCACTCATGTGGAAAGGCAAAAGGGAGGAGATCCGACTGACGGAGGCAGATGTGATGTGCTTGGCCGTTGGGAAGTGGCTCAATGACAATGTGATGGATATGTATTTGATGTCCATATACGAAGAGCAATTGCAAGGTAAGGACACTGCAGCAGTGCATGTGTGCACAACTTTTTGGCATCCGGAGGTGCTCGCGAATCAGAAAGTCGACACGGTGAAAAGGGGATGGGAGTTGCGTGTGAAGAGTCGGACGACCGAAATTCATCGACTGTGTAAAAACCTGGAGGCTGCACCGGTCGTGCTTATTCCAATTAACCACAAGCATCACTGGATGCTGCTTATAATGTTGAATGTAAGGGAGTTTTGGACCGATTGCAAATGCCCCGACGCCGTAATCGTCGACTCGTGTGACGGGTACGCAACTTTAGATTGGAGGGCGTTGCGGACATTAATGTGGCACGAGTACCTCAACGACAAAAGAAGGGGTCCGAATGTCGCACGCCAACTGGTGGACAAGTCGTGGAACACTTGCAAAGATGTGTTTGGTCGTGAACTGATCCATGCGAGGTCTTCACAACAAAGTAACAGAGAGGATTGTGGTGTGTATGTATGTTGCATGGCAGAAAAGTTGATAACAAAGTTGGCACATCTCCCAACCGAGAATGGCTTCTCGAAAGACGACATACTGGAGATTGTAGAGAAGATGCCCATCGATGGAAGAACCGTTGGAGACTTCCGTAGGAGAGCTCTCGATCGCATTACAGAGTGTGCAGCAACAGCGAAAGGTTACATGAGCCTTGGAGCATGTTGGACGATAGCTCGTCTTATGAGAGCGACCATAAAAAAAGATGGTGGCGAACTGCCATAGACAAGTTCGACAGGCCATGTCGGCCGGGATGATCGAGGAGGACGACTGTAGTTGTATATTAAGAGGAAGTTGGCGAAGACGACATCACGTTTTGTTTGTTTTTTTGCATGAATGTTAAATCTTCTCCTGTCAACATATAATATGATAAACTTTTTTTTTTTTTTCTCTCTCTCTCTCTCTCTCTCTCTCTCTCTCTCTCTCTCTCTCTCTCTCTCTCTCTCTCTCTCTCTCTCTCTCTTCTTAAACAATGTTCAGGCTGATTCGCATTTAAAAGTTGTGTATATATTATGGAGCCTTTGAGTAAATAGCTCATAACTGGAATGTTGTGTGTGTCATGTAGCTTTGCAATGGCACCCCGCCGCAGGTACGAAGATATTGCTTCATCATTAAAGCAAGTACAGGAAAGACAGCCACCAGCACGCCTGAGCGAAAAGACTGCGGTCAGGAAAGAGAAGGGGAAATTCCAGAGAGAGCCACATGAAAAAAACAAGACATCACTTTTGTTGAAGTCACACGCGGACCGTGCTGCGGGCACGGCGTCGCCGAAAGCAAACAGGTCTGACTCCAATAAACGACAACGAGAGTCGGTCCCCGCCTCCCCGGCATCCATGAAGAATCGCATGCGACAGGATCGATCTCCGCCACAGGCGCCGAAGAAAAGGTCATGTGCACAAGGGGTGGAAGGACAACCTCGGCACAACGTCACAAATGCGAAGAGGAGGAGAATTATTGAGGGGGAGGAGGAAGGGTAGGAGACAATTGATCTAAGGGGATCCGAAGGTGTGGAGGCAGTCAACACCGAAAAACGACACGAGTCACGGGACACAGTAGGTCAAACGCAAAGGTCCGACGCGAAGGTTTCGAAATTGGACACAGCAGGTGAGACGCAAAGCTCTGACCCGTATGATGAGACAGACGACGGTGAAGGACGTAACGAGGGCACATGCGACGAAGGACAATCGTACGGAGAAGATGCGAGCAAGGAGGAGGAAGACAGTGAGAAAGGGTATAGCAACACAAAGGACAGCGATAGCGAGGTCAAAGAGGAGGAAGACATATCTCGGAGCAGCAGCAGGGAAGAAAGGTGTAGCGAAGACAATACACGAAACACGTCTCGAAAAACACCAGGAGGAAGAAGTCATGGACGCAGGCACGATAGCAACGCCAACAAGCAGTTAGTTCTCAAGGAGAAGGCAATTGAAGGACGTAAGTACGCAATGTGTGTGAAAAATAAAAATATCCGAACACAAATGGGTAGTCGATATGTTGTTTTGCTCTGACTGTTTGCGTTGCGTGCCTGTTCTGAGAAATGGTAGCGAACTGTAAACGTTGTTCGATAATTTTTTTTTGCGTAGGCTGCAAATGACGAAGTGTAGTTGTGGTTGTTTGACCTGCCAAACGAATGTACGAATGTGGTGGATACCAACTTCGAACTTCTGGTTGTTGACACGCGTTCTGCAGACCGCCAGATTATACCAGGAAGGAGACGGCGTGACGAGGACTCAAAAGAGGCAAGGCGTTCAACAGGTGGCACGAGAGACAAATGCCACATATTCGGAAAAAAACAAAAAGACAGACTGTTGAGGTCTGTTGCAAAAGCTTTTGTGCACTCAACAGCGAGGGACGCAACATTCTACCCGTCGGAGGACGACTTCTTCAATGCGTTGCAGTTGGCTGCTACCCTTTTGGGAGAAGATATGAGGGCAGGTTGGGGGAAGTATGTAGAGGAGAACGGTTTGCGGACTGTGCTCATAGAGTGCAACCGAATGATAACAATGGTCCATGGAGAGTTGACTTGGCACTTGAGACACTGGTTTTGGGCGGAGAGAGGTGTCCCCCTCGTACGTGGCGCGCAGTCGGATCAAAGTAACACCGTGCGAAATGAACTACGTAGCCAGATGAACAAAGACAAAACATGGAGAAGGAAGGGTGATGAGCCATGGGGAGCAGAACATTTCAAGAGGGCACTCATAAAAGTGTTCCAAATATGAAAAGACGGCGGGAAGCTCGGCGTGACGTTGCAGCAACTAGCGTTCACCGAACTCGTGATCCGCACAGAAATAGAACAGACAAAGAAGTCAAGCAAGTCGTCGGATCAGTTGCTGCAAATGGTCAATATAAAAAATGACATAGTGAATACAGTCCGGAGCCGGGACATAGTTATGATTTTCTGCATTTTCAAGCTCGAGCACGACACACGCGTGGCAGATGTGGCGACACGGTACTATAAAGCTGGGAACACACGGAGAGACACACGTGCGGTTGACAACAACAGCAACAGCGAACAAGACTTTGAATTCGAAGTGCTAGTCCCGCAGACACAATCGCGAGCTTCATGCTGAGGACCTTGCAAACCTATCCCGGAGTCACACTCCTATTGTTCTCACTGATAACACAGGAGTCAAGATGTGGTGGTAC